TTCTGGTAGCATATTATCATGGATTGTACAAGTATATATATTACCAAAAGAACCACACACCACGCTTGAAGCCCTGGTTGCTATGATGTAATGCATGCATATATGCATCGTTAGGCACCATATTTTCATGTGGGCCTTGCATATCAAAGGTGACTGGTCTTCTTCAACTTTACGTCATGAACAATAGGATTGCTATTTTTGGCAAGATTTAAAAACACTTTGATTTCAAGCGTAATTGTGACCCCACAATGATTTGTAATAAAAACATTAATGACTTTGCTCACCACAAAATTTGATTAACTTTTAATGTTCATACATTTCCACAATAGTTTATAACTAAGATTTTTTCTTTATGGTATGAGCTCCTCGATAATTACACACGATAATTCGTAACTAACATGAAAAAAATTCCCTAATTTGTTATGAGAGGAGGGCATATATAGTAGTCCCACTTACAAAACAAGTGGCTCCTATGATTTTTTCACGAGTTTATTTAGAATCGAGATTCGAGATCTCTGATGGAAATGTGCGAAAAGCATTCCATTTAACTTCGTAAAAAATGTAGCAACTAACAAAAAAACAGTGTGCATGGAAAACCTAGGCTTTCAAACTGTAATTGTAATTTGGCAATTCTAACAAATTGTCTAAATATGACAAGGATTTGCAAATTAGGACCATTTCTCTAAATTTAGAACCTTGCGACCACTGCCCATCCACTTCTGTAGTTCGTTATCGGCTTTGGATTAACAGATGTTATCAAATCCTCGAATTTTCTCTTCAAGCTTAGCAGAAACTGTTTACAGCATAACTACTCCTACATATGCCAAATTTTGTAGTTGGTTTATTATATTTCTTAAAAAGTGGCTGAAGCATTTTCATGTGTACTTCAGCTTGAGTGCCATATTCATATATAAAATTTGGCCAAAAATGTGGCAACTTCATGATGAATTTAACCTAGGCATACATTTCCCTTTCATAGATAAATTTAATTATTTCTTCTTCTTTTGTAGATGTTTTTGTGGGGTTTAGATGTTGAATGGTTCCAAACTCACTTATGTTGATGTTTCTCTTTCTAAACAGCAGCCTTGTGAAAATATTTTATGAATGATGTCACATGATGCCATAGCAAAAAATTCAAGAAGATAAATGCTTGTTCATTGTTACTGATATCTATTTGTAGCAATATCACCATTTTGTCAATGATTCAAGACTAATTTTCTAAACCTGTCCCCCCCCAAAAAAAAAAGAGGACTTATTTTCCATTATTTTGAGGTAAACATGAAGTCAATTTGCTCATATTAGCATATATTTCTCTCTTGATTTTGTCCGCTTAAAAAAATTTATAGTCAAATTTCAAATTTCTTATAACAACCTTCAAATTGATATTGTGGTTTTCTTCAGGATTTTTTCCCTTTTAACTACAATCCCTCACAACTTCAATATTTGCAGAACTGGACCACACATGGAATTCTATATTCATTATTTAGTAAATGGTTGGGACATTAACAATAAACCTTAATCCAAACATTGAAAAATCTCAAATGGAAAAGGATAAGGATTTGGCACACTAAAGTCGATGATGTAGAAGACAGAACTGAGAGGTGCCAGAAGCATCATCGCACCAAAAAGACCAAGGAAAAGTGGCTCAAACTTGGTGTAAAATGCACAGAAGACCGATAGAATCCATGCAAAAACACTAAGGAGAAGCAGATGACTTGGACAAATGGATGATTGTCGCACGCACACTGTTGGAAAGCACGTCCGAGGAAAAATTCAAGAGTGTAGTGTAGAACTGCAAGAACAGCATAATTTCCTCGTGGCGTGCTGATTGATGTTCCTCCAACTTCTGGATAGTTCATAACCAACAAAAACAAAGATTTTTTTGTGAGTGGAAGTAAACCATAACTGCAGAGATAAGGGGAAATACTTGATGGATGAAAGGAGGTTAGAAGGATAACACTACTAGAAATGGTATTTGAATTGGAAGAATTTGCGTGGTGCAAAATATTGTTTGGCAAAACGTTGACTTTTTGTCCATTGTGAAAAATGATTATTAAGCGGACCAAAAATATGTAAGTGACAACGGTTGTCTGTAAAAGTGAGTGGTTTGCTATGGCATTACCTTGCTAATGCAGGTAAGTGCTCTACAAGATTTTTTGTGACCAGCATGTTCCATCATCCAAAAAAAGTATAGCGACGTATATCATATATGCGACAAATTAAGAGTTTCCATCACAAATACTAAACTTTTACGCAGCGGTTGTTGTCGTAGCAAATAACTCGATTGTAATAACGACAATGTTTGGCTCTCTATTTTGTTCTCCCTTGACTTTCCCCTAAATTGTTTCTTCTTTCTCTCTCTACTGTGCTCACGCATTCATTATCATCACTTTTGTTAAGCTCTCCAATGGCTAACCACCAATGATCGCAACAACCACCACAATTCAGTAAACTAATCGAATCTACAACAACCATACCATTTGAACTATCGCTCCAAAGTCGCCCCAACCACCACTGTCGGCCCATGCCCAACTCCACTAGTAATCATCTGTGTGTTGTGTGTGTGCTGTGTGTGGTGTGTAATTTTAGACTGGATGATTATGTTGAATTCTTGTTGTTGATGGTTCGATGTGAGACGGGGGATGATGGTGGCATGTATGAAGTGTGGGAGGGGAAAAGGGTGGTCGGTGAAGGATGGGAGGCGATGAAGGGGAGGAGGGATGATGTGGGTAGAGGGCTTTGGAAGAAGAGTGATGAGGGTTGGCGAATATTGGGTTGGGTGGAGGGGTGAAGGCATTAGAGAGGTTTGGGCTGGAGGGGGTGAGGAGGACTGTCGGGTGTAGCATTCCACATTATGTGCAAAAACATATGCTTTTATATCATGTTGCGTGATATGCGTGGAGTGCTATACCAATCTTTTTAACTTTCATATTGCAATTTTAACCTTGTTTTCCTCAATACATCTAATTATACAATTAAAGTCCTCAAACTCAACTCTTGTTTTCAATGTGTTATCTCATCACTCTTCATTAAGAAATTTGAAACATAAAGACCAAAGTGGAAATTTGGTTGAAGTTGAAAGGTTGAAATGTTATTTACGCTCATAATTTCTATCTTCCAAAAATGTTTGCGTGTCTTCACACAAAATTTTGTACACTGAGGATGGGGGACCACATTTGAAACATGGAGCGTCAAGTTTACAAGCTTAATGTTGTAATTAGAAAGAGTAGTAATACAAAGTTAAATTTTGGTGATAGTTGGAGGTTGAAATGGTAATTCCCCAATCTTTCTTTGGTAACATTGAGGCCATAGTGTAGGGAATGAGGAGTATTTCTTTTTGACAAGACAGTTGGAACCCTTAATCTCTTAGGCGACGGTGTAAGGTTTTAGTGGACGGCGAACAAGGTTAGTGGTTGTCGATACTGATCCAGTTACTGATCTATAGTGGTTGCCAACATTTGGCGGTTTCTTGAAGAGCTACAAAAAGTGAGATAATATGAGATGAGACAGCATGAGACAGAGAAGAAAGATAATTTTGGGAAAAAAATTTAGGGGAAGGTCAGGGGAAACAAATAAGAGAGCCTACAGTACGACTTTCCTTGCAACGACAACAAAATGCTGCCATAAAAAAATTTTAGTATTAGGGTATGCAACCTCTAATTGTCGCATAAAGCAGTACATGTAAACACTCAAGGCCTTTAGGCTTTATTTGTTACTTGAGTTGAACTTCATACTTTTGTGTCCAAATGTTGGGCTGGAAAGATGTAAGCCTGTAGGCATTTAAATTTTGAATGGTACATTAATGGCTTTTGTTTAAAAGACTCAGATGAATATTAATATTTGTATTATTTATTAATGGAATTATTAAAGTGTTTTCTTTAAATAGATGCATGTCAAGAATATATAATGGGTTAATTTTGAGGGCCGTGACATTTATATCCAAATTTCAAAATTTCCTTCTATAAAACCGTCTCAACAACTTGATTATTGTGTTTTCTTCAGGATTTTTTCCTTTTAACTACATCACCCCTCTTGGTGCAGCTTTCCAATTTGCGGAAAAGCTAAACTGACCCACACATGGATTCATATAATTCAATTATTATGTAAAGGTGGACATTACATAAACCTTAATCCAAACATTAAAAAAATCTCAAAAGAAAGATAGGATTAGGATTTTGAGCACTAAAAGTCGATGTGTAGAAACAGAACTGAGAGGTGCAGTAGCATCTCCAGCGCAAAAAAGAAAGACAAGGAAGTGGCTTCAACAATTGGTGTTTAAAATATCACAAGAGACGATAGAAATCCATCTGCAAAACTTGAGAGGGAAGAAGTAGGAAATGGACTTGGACAATTAGGATGATTGTCTGACGACGCATATGTTAGGGAACATCGTTCGATGGAGAAGATTCAAGAGTGGTAGAAACTGACAAGAACAAGCATAATTTTCCTGCAGTGGTGTGCTGATTGATGTTCCTCCAACTTTCTGAACAGTTCATACTACAACAGATAAGAATTTTTGCTTTGTGGAAGTGAAAGCCATAACTGCAAGGAATAAGGGGAAATACTTGATGGAATGATGAGGTTAGAAGAGGATGATAAACACTAACTAGAAAAATGAGTATTTGCATTGGCAAATATTTTGCAAGGTGCAAATATTGTTGCAAAGTTGACCTTTTGTCAATTGTGAAAAATATTATTAGCGACAAAATATATTTGTAATGACAAGTGTGTAGTAAAAAAGTGAGTGTTTGCTATCGCGCATTCCTTGCTAATGCAGAAGTGTCTACAATTTTTTGCGTGACAGCGTGTTCCATCATATCCGCAAAAAAGTAAGCGGCTATATCA